ACCACAATGTAGGACCTTCTCAAGCTAGAGTTTGATATATAGGGAGTGGAAGGAGAAGCCACAGCAGCGTTCCTTCCAGCTGATCTATGATCTATGTCAGCAGGAGATTTTTAGTCTCAGCCTTGTACTGTTAGCATCTTGTTGTAGACAAGAATTGAATGTGGGTGAAAGAACATAAAATCATTTTTGTGTGGGTTTTGAGAAGCTGATTGAACTCAGTGCCACCAGTCTGCCAAAGGAAGCTATGCTAATGCTAAAGTCACATGCCGTTAGCTAGAACAGGCCTGACACATTCGCTACATTAATTAGATTACAGTGTCATCTATAGGTGAGGGTGATATTCATTATAAATTCATAATCGGCGAAACAAAGGGCTTCTGGCTGCATGACTGACAGGTAAAGTCACCTTTAGACCTCCTCTACTCAGCATAGACCAGCCAGGGCAGCAGGGAGCGCACCAAATTGGGGTTGAGAGGACACACTGCTGAAGCTGTCTTATTAAGCCACAGAGGGTTTGTCGACTTGTCTGAGGTGTGAGGAGGAAATGGAGGGTGGGTGGTGTGTGAAGGCGGAACACACAGTGTAGCGCATCCATTACCCTCCGTCACTTTCACACACGCCGCTAATGAAGCTGTCATGGCCGCCGGCATGTGGACATGGGCGATATTCAAATGAGAGAGCTGTTCACCTGCTGCAGAAAGAGCAGTCCAATTACAGACACAGGGCAAACACTGGATCCAGGAAAAGGGCATATGTTCTGTTCCACCGAAGATTTGTCGTGAAGTTTGTTCTTGCTTAAACCTTCACAACGCAACATTTTACTGAAATTCTAAAGGTCTGCCATGTGTTTTTTTTTTATTTTCATCATAAAATGGGATTCCTATTGGAAGTAAGGAATTGTCTAAAATGTCTGGATCTATCTAGTGGTGTGGATGTATCTATAGATGGAAGCAGGCAACAGATCTCAGACGTGTCATTTCAGGATGTGGAAATCAGTGCGTCCTGGAGAAATCATGACTGGTACTGTAGATGCCAAAGTATGAACTATGAAGAACATTGTGAGGAATTGGAAGACCAGAAGCACAGTTCTAGTAAAGGTCTGAAGTGCCAAACCAAGAAAAATCACAGATACAGAGCATTTAAAACTTTGAAAAGAGATTTTTGATTATTTTTTCCCTCAGACACATCCTGTGTACTTATCTGTTGGGAGCCATACATTTTTAAAAACACTTTAATGAGAAAACATGACTCATTATGTATTCATGAAGCAGACTCAGCAGGGCACTTTTGTGACCTCCCAAATAAGAGAATTGTGACAGTAAATTTCTTTTTAGCTATGCACCAAACAGCTAATAGGAAGCTATTTCAGGTGCTTGTATTGACTCCAATGGTGTATTGCTCTGGCACCAGAGAGCTATTGACAATCTGTAATTGTCTTTTTCCCTCTTCTACAGACTGTTAACCTTGAGCCGCCACAGGGGGAGAGGAGCAGAGATGCTCATGTCTGTCAGTTATTCAAGCACTAAACCCTGAGCAGGCCTTGCCCTTCTCAATGATCTGGGTAAAGCTCTATTTGGATGGGGCTAGTTTTCCAAATGATGTCTTCTCCAAAGACGTCCATCATTTCATTCACAGATTCAGACAGAACCAACACGTCAAAGATTAAGAACCTTATTTATTGATTTAGTGTTTAGCATTATTTCATAATCACGTTAAGCAATTCATCAGAACAGGTGTACCCAATAAAGTGGCCAGAGAGTTTACATTTGGCAGATATTTGGGTTGGGGCTTCGGAAAGCTCAAATCACTTCAGCTGAAATGCACCTCATATGGCTCTATGACTAGTTCTCTGTATTGTTACAACATATTGTTTGTTTTTAGAGCTACAATGACGTTTGAGTTAATTAAGCCATTGCAAATGCACTTTATCAATGCATAGATACAGCTTCACACGGTGTCTTTCTTACAATACTCACGCTCCATCAGCGTGCAATAACTCATTGTCTTCCATCAGGATCTGTTCTAAGTTGTCGGGAGGGGGTCTTGTAGGTGTCCTGTCTGAACATTAAGCTTCCTCTGAAAAACACCCCTCAATGGCAGCACTGCCAGAACCAGAGCTCTTCCCTGTCACTCAGCTGTCAGCGGGGAAATGAATCTGGAAGCAGCATGTCCTCCATTCATCAGCAATGACAGCACTACCTCTCTGCCGGGTTCCGCTTCGACGAGGAAGATTTCTGCCCGAGATGAAGAAATTATAGCGCGTTGTGAAGTGACTCGCCAGCCGCGTGTCGTTTGCTCGTGTATTAAAGGCATCAGGTTGCCCTCATCTCCTCAAAACTTCTGGAGGGCAAATGCAACGATACCATTTTATTTTCCAATCTTCTCTTTCCGATTATAGCTGGTTGACAGAAGCTACAGAAGATGAAATATTCCTCTGAGAGTGACTGCAAATTATTCTTTGTGCTTTAAATATCTCGAATGAATGGAATTGAAGGAAGGTGTTTGTATCTTCACAATTACTTTTACCAATATAACACAAGCTAGTCAGATATTGGCAGAACGCTGCAGAGGTTTGCAAACAATAAAAGTTTAATGGCTTTCCTGTGGCTATGGCAGTAGAGCGTGGTGCTTGAAACACCAGAGGTCATGAGCTTAATCCTTTGGGAAAGAAGGAATCGACAAAAGGTGCACATTGGACGTGCATGAGAATGTTCTGTTTTAATAAAATACTTAATTCATTGATGAGTTAGGTTAAAACATAGCCACAAATACCTGTTTTGATCTGTTACACTTTTGTTTAACTTAAATATTTACAGTCGTGCTCAGAAGTTTACACACTTTGGCAAAATGTTTTGATTTCTAGGCCATTTTTCACAAAATATGAATAATGACACGACTTTTTTGCTCTGAGTGAAGCGTTTAATGTCAAACAACTGTCTTTACGCGTTTTAAATCATAACGGCAAAAGAAACTTTCCAAATTACCCTGAATAAAAGTTTACTCTTAATATATTGAATCCCTCCTTTAACATAAATGTCAGCCTGAAGTCTCTTGAGGTAGTTGTCGATGAGGTTTTTTATCTGTTGGTAAAGCAGCACAAAAAGCATTCAACTCTTGTAAATTCTTGCATGATCTGCAGTTTTGAGTCTTCCCAGAGTGGTTCAATCATGTTGGCTAAGTTTCTTTTGCTTTTGGAGCTCACAGTTTTTTTGTTCTTGTTGACTCCTCTCCAAATGTAGTGTTTATGGTTGTGGCCAAAAAGTTACATTTTGGTTTCATCGCTCCAAAAACGTTCTTCCAGAAGTCTCTGTGGCCATGATGTAAGCTGGCAACTCTACCATGCAACCCATATCTTCTTCAAATGTCTCTTTATGGTACTCCTTGAAACAGTCATGCCACATATTTTCATAGAGCCCTGTGTTTGTAGCTATTTGTGGGTTTTTCTTTGCATCCCTTACAATTTTTCTGGCAGTTGTAGCAGAAATGTTTGCTGGTTTCACCAAAATCCCTCATGTTCCACTTCTTCATCAGAGTTTCGACACTGCTGATTGGCTGATTCCCAGTTCCTCTGTGATCTTTAATATCCCTTTCCTGTTTTGTTCAGTTCAACTACCTTTTCCCGTAGATTTTTCAACAACTTTTTTGCTTTCCCCAAGGGAAGGGACTACCAGGAGCCAGAAACCCAGAAACCTTTACTGTTTAACCATTGAATACCTTTACCAGCCAATCAATCCTGTTTGTGTCAGTGTTTGTGCATATTTTAATAATAATAATAATAATACATTTTATTTGCTGGCACCTTTCAAGTCACCCAAGGTCGCCTTACATAGAACAATTAAAACAACATTGTGAACATTAGAAGACTTAAAAACTTAAATCTGCGCAAGAAATAAAAACATGAGCAATACAACACAAAAAGATTATACGAAATAGCTAAAAACAACTAAAGATCATACACCTGTCTAAATTTAAGGCGGATTTTATCAGGCCAAAATCAAGCAAAAACTTTTGTTCAAGATTATTTGCAAATGGCTTCACCAAACAACAAATTAGAGTGGAAAAAATGCTTTGAGTCATCATTCATATTTTCTGAAAAATGGCCATGAAATCAGAAAATTTGTAAATCTGTAAACTTCTGAGCACAGCTCTAAATACTTTTTACATTATCACTTATGAACCCCGGCTTGTTGCTCTGAATCCCTTTCGTATCCACTTGCCACAAACGTCTTTGTGAACCCCGTTGCATCCAGATAGAGTTGGATTTGTAACATCTTGTCTGGCATTGGGAATTCCTTCAGAAACAATTACCTGAGTGTTGAGCCCTGCCCGAGCGGGTATGCGTTATACGAGGAGCAGGTGGGGTAATTTGACTCATTTGAGGCAGCGTAATGATGAATGGTGTCAGGAGTAAACAATCAGACCCAGGGAAGTGGATCTACTGCAGTGTAAGGAGAATTTAGTTTCGTCATAAAAGAATTCTCCCTTCCTCTATTTCACTTCGACACTTTTATGCCTTTTTTATTTTCTAGCTTATTGCGGCCGTGGGCCACGTGCTGATTTATACGCTCTGGCAGGGATACAAGGGACCCTCAAGAGACCAGACCCTCCCTCCCAAAGCTCCACGTTCACACACACACACACACACATGGCGAGCTCACCCACTGGGCACCGCTCATTTCTTTCTCTAACAAGATGTTCGTTTGGTGCAGTTCTGGCTCTGTTATCCATCACATTGTGGGGGTTGTGTGAAACGGTGTGCCCTTAAACACAGCATACGCTTGTTTAATGTGTCTGCGGAAATCGGTTGTGCCCGTTCATTCAGGTATTGGTTACAATGATTGCATTTACAGTTTTGGAGGCTGGATCCTCTCTAAGGGGCTCTTTGTCTCAAGGAGAGCCATTCAACAAGCACTAGATGAATACTGCTGGTAAAAAGTCGTATTAAGTGTGCGGTTTTCTCCTTGATTGAGATTTGTGCTGTTAAACTCTTACTGTGTGCGGCTCGGTGGGGCAGTGGTTTGCACTGCTGCCTCTCAATTAGTAGTTTGCTGGTTCAAAGCCAGCCAGCAACATTCCTGAATGAACAGCATCTTGAAACCATAGTCTACTTTGAAATCTTTGTCTGGGAGAGACCTTGTTGATGCACAACAACTACCTTGTGTCCTGTTGCTGTACTCAATCTTTCCATAAGAAGAAACTGTCTTTCTCACATTGGTAACAGACTTTGGCTGTTCCTGCTTGGTTTTAAGCCGTTTCTGTTTCAGTTCTTGACTGGGTGTCAATGTACTTGTGACATTGATGATAATATGCAGCTGTTTGGTTTAATTGGTCGAACACACACCTGAGTACAATCCTGCAAAATCCCAAGTAAGTTTATTTGCTCACTTTGCATTTGGCACATATACAAAAAAAAATATCTATATTTTTCTGAAAGTATTTTTTTTTTACAGCATTTCTTCTCACTTGCATAAAAATTGTGCACAATAGCATCTAATATAATCGAGTAAAATTGTTTAAAGCGGATGGCATAAAAAACGTAAAATAAAAAAAGGAATATTCTTAATGAAATACACTTAGATGTTATTCCTATGACAAGTGCTATTCCAAAATGCTACAAAAGTTGTTGTGTGGGTATTTCAAGAATTCTACTTGGATTTTTGACGCGGACAATTGTGAAAAAAAAACTTTGTAATGGGTAATTCCTGTGAATATCAATAGAACACAAGGAAATTACTATCAATAAAGTTCTCAAGTAATGTTTAACTGCTTTAAGAAAGCTGAGGTACGATATCCTCCTTTACATGATTTAGAAAAATAAATCAACTAAAGCTTCAATCAGCAATCAAAGGGCTTTAGGACCTTTGGGGCCATCTCCCATCTGTCGCCAGTTTGTTATAATATGTACTTTGACCAATCCCTATTTAGGAAATGTATTCAAAAAAGAATTGTAAAAATTACTGAATAAAGAATAAAGAAAACCATATCATACTGGGTCATGACCTTCAGGTGGCGCTGTGAATGAGTGAATATGTGAAAACGAAAACAATCTGTAATTGTTTTGGCTAATATTCTTGTCACATAAGTCAAAATTAGTAACAAGAAGCATCTCACCAATGTTAAATGTTGTATTTCTGTTGCCACATGGTGGCACTATAACAGAGAGAGTACATAGAAGTGTGCAGACATGGACTGTTAACATAGTTGGTAAATTTGGGACCCATCACACATTTCATGGCTGAGTTATAAACAACCTGTTTGTGGCAAAATTTCGAATATCAACGGCTGTTGTGCGCATTTTAATAAACAAATTTTAAAAAGCTTTGCAATTTAATATCCAACGTTTCTTAAAATAAGACTGATGGGAGTTTGGAGACGAACAGGTGAAATCTGTAGTAGTAATTTGTTCAAGTAAGAAACATGCGAAAGTGGCCATTTTTAGAGCTTTTTGTGGAATAGTCGGCTTTCTGACGATTTTGGAAACGCAATCCATTTCAATTATACTTAGGTCTTGGTGCCCCACATGTGAATGCCGAATTCCATTCTCCTACGATACACTCTTTAAGAGCCATAAGCTGAATCATGTTCGTTGGCTCTATAGAAATACTTTGCCACACTCTCTTTTCAAACCCCAGTCAGAAGTGCGTGTTCACCAATTGTGGAGTGTGAGCGAAATTCTTTTTCGAGTGAAAAGAGTGGAAAACCATGAGCAATTACAAAAGGTTCAACACATCTTCAGTGCTCGAGCCCTGAGTACGACATTTTTTGCACCAAAATATTAAATATCAAAGAAATCAGGATTAAAATGTATGAGGGAGTACTCCAATACGAACTCAAATCTCTCTCTACCTCTCTATATAAATATATTTGTCTGTGCACTTCTGTATACAGCTCCTAAACAGATATTCCTAACTTCTGACATGGACATTGTATGCTCATGAATTTCCTTTCTGTAATGAATCCAAAACTTACGGAAGAGGATGGTTTTCCATTTCACTCTGTCGTGTTAGCATCAAAAACACCAGTGTAAACATAGCCTCCATTTGGCATTTGAGAGGCATTTAAAGATGTGTATCAAAGAACGCAGCACGTCCATGACCTCTTTGTGACATAAGTCATAGCCAGCAGCGCTGACAGATGTGATCGGCCGAGGCTTGAGGCACTAACTCACCCCAGGGACACTTTGGCAGGTGCTCAGAGGAACCGACCCAGTCAACCAACCACCAGTCGATGACTGGTTTAACCTCAGCATTTACACCTGATCCAGGTCCTTGCTAACACTAAGAAATTTAAGGAAATTTAAATCCAGGGACAATTTGTGGTCTGCAGCCCCTAGTTTTTTCAGCTGAAGAGTTAGACGATAAAATTAAAATCCATTGACGAATCGCAACAGATACGAAAAACACGCAACTGGTTTCAACTCTACGAAAAGTTAAATGCAAGAGCCTTTTTCGATGACTCAATATGAAGCGAAAGTAATATTTATAGAGTGCACCATGTTAAAATTTAGATGACTTACAAAGTGAATTATTTACATTTTAAAAGATACCATTTTGGAGCCGGACGCATCCACATACGGGAATATTTACGGGGCCCCTCAATGTCATCAATGTTTTGTTTTCAGTATTACACTTCTGACCACAGACAAATTTTCTGCTTTGAGAAGGATTTTGATGGTGATATGATAGATGGAAGGGGACGGGAGAAGGAGATGTAGTAATGACCAGGGCGGAGTTCCATTTTAATCACTATTTAGCCAGCCACAGCAATCATATTCTGTGGTCATGTCCATTTATTAATAAAAAAACAAATCTAATACCAGTTTTATAGTAAAAATAGACTAGTATACATTGTGCTTTGTAGAGACTAGGGGGGCAACAATGTACATCATGGAGGTTCTGGGAGATATCAAGGTCCTGAAGTGTATTTGCTTCTCGGAGTGATTGTAATTCTAGTCATTTCTGAAACTTCTTTACCTTGTAGTCTTGTTTTATGTATCATTTACTAGGAGACAAGTATCCTTTATTCACATTTCAAATGAGAGAGATTATAAAAATTAGTTCTCTCCTTCACATGGAGCAAAATAGATGATTGAATGCAAAGATTAACACTACCCCCTAGTGGATGGATGGTATCAAAAACTCTCATACAAATCAAACAAGACCCTAGGTTTCTTTGGTTTGTGATCTCAAAACAATTTAAATTCCAGTTTTCCAATGATGGATAAACAGTAATTAGATAATTGGATGCATATCATATGGTAGAAATAATATAGAGGTATGTATCGGATCATGAGCAGAGTGTATGGTTATATCCCTATATCCTTATATTATATCCCTTTAATATATATATATATATATATATATATATATATATATATATATATATATATATATATATATATATTCATTCCACACAAACTGATTTATGTCAAGTGTTTCTCTTTTAATTGTGATGATTATTACTGACAACTAATGAAAGCTCCAACTTCAGTACCTCAGAAAAATGTGAATATTGTGTATAATATAAGGTTATTGAATACACCTAGTGTCACACTCTAATCAGTTACTTAACTGAAATGCATTTAAATGCTCTCTCAGTCTGGTTCCATCTGCTAAACAACCATGGAGAAGACTGCTGACTTAACAGATCTCCAAAAGACAACCATTGACACTTTGAACAAGGAAGGTGAGACAAAAGGGTCATTGAAAAAGAGACCTGCTCTTCACTGAGCTGATTGTTCCAAGCACATTACAGTTGTAAAGGAAAAGATGCTGTAGAAAAAAAAGTTTACAAGCAACAGGGAGAAAAAAAAAAAGTCACATCCTGGAAAGGATTGTGAAACAAAACCCATTCAGAAATGTGAGGGACTGTAGCTGGGGTTGGTCCACTGCGAGGGTGGTGTTAATAAATAATTTTTTTTTTAAAAGAGCCAGAATTTACTTCTACTCAAAAGTAAATTGAAGTAGGGCTATGGATGTATATGGACAACTTGGTATTGTAAAAATATTTTAAAACAAAAATAAGTTATTATTTTAGTAATGCAAAACGTATTGGAATGTACACAAAACTAAGAATTTGAGTGATACTTTTACCTCAGATGTCCTCTAATATTCAATACATTTACTCGTTATACTTCCATTGAAGTTAATCCAGCAGTTCTTCTCAGCTGCCTCGGCTCGCAGATGAACACGGGATCAGATGACTGCTCTGCCTTCTCATTGACAAGCTCAAGCTACAAACACACGCGACCGTCAGTCATGCGCTAACAAGCGATAGCATGTCAAGCTGGACAATTATTTGGCAACCAGAGTCAGGTGCATCACACCAGTAAGCCGCAAAGCAGCCCTGTAAATATTCTGCAGCACTCCTAAGGATGAGATGTTTATAGCAGGCGGAAAAATGCTCGTCATGCTGATGGCCGTGATTTATTCCTCAAGAAAATTTTGCTTGTGCATCATCAGATGAGGATTTATGCTTAAACGTTCAGATAAATAAGCACATTCTCTCAAAAGCTTTTTTTTCACTCTTGCTTACCTCCAAATACAGAGGCTTTCAACCTGAACTCCAGAATTGACATTTTCATTGCCCCGCTTAAGAAACTATTTGGCAGCTTGGAAAAGCTGAGAGCTGTTCTGTGCTTTTAAGCAAAGGTTTGTCAAAAGAAATATGGCTGTATTTTGGGTAAAACGGGACCCGATTTCATCCAAACAATACAATAGCATCCAGGGTTGGTGCCATTCGTGAATTGACTTGAGAATGAGTGGTAAATTCCTTTTCACCTGAATGGAATCGGAATTTCATGCAGCTGACATGAAATAGAATTGGAATCCAAAAAAATTAAATATTTGACTTGATTTGCTTAATGGGTTATATTACATTAAATATCGTGTAGGCGCCAATATTGAGAATTAGGTGTGTTTATATAGGTCACCAGCAGGGGCAGCAGGGAGTCAACTAACATTTAACACGTTGTTTGGTGGAGGGAACATCTACAGCGTTTACCACACACTCACACATTAAAACTCAACAACCTGTAAAAGATCTCCAATATTACAAAAAAAACAACTAA